AGGAACATATGTCCCCTTCTCAAACTTTCTCTTATAAGCACATTGAGTTAGAGTTTCCTATAAGAGGAACATATGTCCCCTTCTCAAACTTTCTCACCATGGTTTGGATGGCTAAGCTTTGATTATCCGACTGATACCCTTCTTCCCAATCAACCTTTTACTGAAAACACACACACAACTTGTTTCTTCAAGAAGTTCTACTAATCACTCTTTGCCTCTTTGGGTTTCTATAAGGTTTTTTTTCGATAGTGAGAACATTCTTCAACTTCTTTACAATGGTCTAGGAACAAGAACTATTTACTGGCCTAATCTTAGGGTTTTGATTTCAAAACAAAAAGTGCAGCAGAACAGGGGAGAAGACCAATGTCCAATCACCAATGGATTAATTTTATAACTTATCTCAATACTCCACATATGGTTTAATTTTAGTGTTAGATAGTATGATTTCAATTCATATTGGAATACACCTAAATCACCTATATCAGCTAATTTCCACACATATATGATTGCAAATACCAACCAAAGGCATCTCTAAATAACCAATTTCAGTAAATTTAGCCCTAAATCCTAATAATCAGTAAATCACCATATAACCAATTTCAGTAAATTTAGCCCTAATAATCAGTAAATCACCATATAACCAATTTCAGTAAATTTAGCCCTAATAATCACCTAAATGCTAAATCAGTAAACTGTAAATCACCACTTTTGGGTTTTGATTTCAAAACAAAAGGTGCAAGTGAAGTGCAACAAGCAGCAATCAGCAGAGAAGCAAGCAGTAGGCTGTAGGCCAGTACAGGGGCGGAGAACTCAGTCAGCAGAGAATGAGAGAACTGAGAAGGACGGACTTACCGGGACCGGGAGTTACCGTGGCTGGCCGCCGCCTCCGCCTGCAGTGCCGCCTCCGCCTCCGTGGCTCCGTGCCTCCGTGGCTCCGTGCCTCCGTCTACGCCTGCCGTAGTGCCCGTCTACGCTAACGCTGGTCGCCCTCCTCGTCCTCACACAGGCTGCAGTCGGCAGTGGGTAGTCGCTCTCGCTCGCCTCTTGGGATTGGATTTGGAAGGGGGAGGCCGGTTGAATTTTTTTAAATCTGTAATGGATTACACTGTTGTATGCTAATTGAGAAAAAAATCTGGCCCCTATAGGCCCCTTAGGCGGTCCGGCTGGCACATGTCATCGTAACCACCATGATAGGTCCACCCATGATCAGCACTAGAGTCGTCTTAGTTTGTAGGTAGAGCTGGTTTGATGAGACCATGTAGGCGTAGCATCCTCATGAACTGAAATTGTGGATGAGACCGCTTGCACATAGCATCCATCTTGATCTTGTGGCTATGGTTGGTTGGATGAGACCAATTGATATCCGAGAGTCTGGGTTCATGGATCTCCTCTAATTTGGGCCAACGATCTTATAACTTAATTGATACTAACTAGTAGATCAATACAAATATGCCAATCATTTATAATTCAATTGCACTAGTAGTGTCATTGATTGGCATTAAACAAAAAGATTTTACTTTACACTTTTTAAAGAAATGATACGGACCGATTTGATCATATCCGTTTATATTTTATACCTTATAAGTATATCTGGTTTAAAACATGGATGCGAATAGATCAGGATGTTACATGTAAAGCTGTCCATCAAGCACCATAAACTATTGTCATCGAACAACATGGACGTTACAATTTTTTTTGGAGACTTTGTTACATCCAAAACTTTTGATTACATCAAATAAATGAGATAATAGAGAATATATGTCAAGAACAAAAATGGACTGAATCTAAAACGATTAACAATTTGAAACTAAACATAAACCATTAATGATTTGAACCTAAAACCAAAGAATTACTTGAACATAAATAATTCCAACTATACTTTTGCAGGTCGATAAAAAGACCTTGAATATATGTAAATTTGGACCTCAAAATATTGGGGTTCTGTTTAAAATATTACATTTAACATGTCTAAGGGACCGCCTGTCGAACAACATCATGCAATTCAGAAATTTTTGTCGTAATTTTTTGTTGTGCAGTTTGCAATTTCATAACTACACCACATATATATATTATATTTATTAAAAAAAGAAACCAGCCCACTCACTATGGATAACACTCTAGTGTTGTGCTATGTTACAGAAAAACCAAATCGAGACCCGAGAGTGTTTTTTGGGAGCTAGGGTATTTGGTTGTGTGAGCGGCTAGAGATGGTCAAACACGGCTCAAGCCTAGCTCGAGAACGGCGAAGGACTGGATGGGACCCGTTACATTTACGGACCGACTTCTCAAGATTTTTTAATGTTTTTCAAGTGTATTTCAATAATTATATAAACGTGTATAACATTTTTGTCTAAAAAAAGAATTTTAAAGAAATAAATTGGTTGGACTTGGTACCTTGACCAGGACCGGACTTTGGACTAAGAAACAATCCTCATTTTTGGGGTCAGCACCGGCCAGCCTGGTTACAAAGCGGTTTCCCTCAAATCGGAATTAGTTTTTTGCTTTCTCTACGAGCGACAGCATTCGGTATTTGAGTTTGAGAGACGACGTGGATAAAAACTTTTTTATTTTGTTATGGATTAGAACTTGTATATAGTTTGTTTTGGACTTTTATTTTAATTAATTAGGTTGTGTATTTGGATTAATTATGGAATTAATTTGTTTATGTTGGAACTTTTTATTATATGGACATGTCATTCTTGAATTATTTTGAACTTGTGAATTTATAATTATTGAAATTAGGGGTGTAAATGATGCGAGTCGAGCTCGAGTATCACTATACTCGACTCGAACTCGAAACCCAATTTCCAACCTCGAACTTGACTCGAAAACTCCCGAATAGTAAAAATCAAAGCTCGACTCGAACTCGATAACAATTTCTCAAGCTCAAACTCGAACTCGAATCAAGCTCAAACAAAGCTCAAATCAAGCTCGAAGCAAGCTCACCCATTGAAAATCATGAAATTTTAGGTTTTTTCTCTTATAAATTTTAAAATTTTAAAGGTGTTCTTTTAGTTTTATAAAACTAACGAATCAACTTCAAACTTCATCATCAAAAAGACAAAGTTAAAAATTTCATTCACATCCCTATCTTTTTATAACATTTTTTCTCATTTCCTTTACCTATCTCTTTCAATGTGGGATAATTTCACTAACTTTTTTTATAGTTTTTCTTTGTCTTTTTTTTTTATTGTAATTTTAATAAAAATTAATCAATTAAGTTTTATAATTAAAAAAAGCTTAATTTTGTTTAAATATCTAAAAATATAATACATTTTTAATATTTGTCTCTTACAAAATTTATCATAAAAACTGATTATATTTTAAAACTATTTATATATAAAATAATCGAGTATCTTCTCACGAGCTTTTCGAGTCGAGTATTGGGTAGCTTGGCTCAACTCGTTAATATATCGAGTCGAGCTTTGACCGAGTCGATCTCGAGTAGCTCGCGAGTTGTCTCGTATCATTTACACCCCTAATTGAAATTGAAGTGCATTACGTATCAACAACATAGAATCTGCGGAGCATTTCCCAGTCCAGTTTTTTTGCGATCTAAGGCCAAAAAAAGGCTGTCGTTCCGATTTAAGACAAAAAAGAAGCCATTCAGAAAGAAGGTGGACCAGAATGATTATGATTGACCTGACCGCTTGTTTTAACAATAAAATGAGGATAAATGTAGTGAAACAGTTTAAGAAGTTGCAATCACATATTCTCACCGGGCATATATACATGAATTTGGGATACTCGAAGCCATAATGTTGAAACACAATCACACCTTCATTGTGATGTCAAACATTTTATGAGGGGGCTTTGAAGCCTACTTTTAAGTAGAGTTTGCAAAGTTACAAGAAGAATCTCCGAGTTTTATTGACACAAATAACAAAACCAGCAAACAGTTCTATACCAATTTGTACCATCTAACAGTTAACACTAGGGATCATTAACAATACGAATGTTTATCAAGTTCCCAACAAGAGTCACCACTCTCACTTATGCTGTTACATTTTGGGCCATTAACATAGGTTGGTGGAAATCGCCCCTTACCTGGTATAATAGTCTTCTCCCTCACCAGATCAAATTTTTGATCATTGATATGCCTCTTACCAATATCATGTAAGATTCTTGATCGTTGTCATCTTAACCCGGTAAAACAAGTAACACCTAGTATACACTTGCCCGTTAAACATTTAGTAAACAGCCTCTGAACCACCATAAAAATAATAAACCTACACCATAAAAAATTCTAATCCCACTTTCATTGACAGTTCATTTTTAAACATACCAATAGGCAATAATGCTTAGATATCCATGATGTGAGGGCAGAAAAAAAAAACATAAACCACCTCTTCCATGTTTTTCATGTTTCCAACTCAAGAAACTCTACCAAATAGCACCCTCATATTCCTTCATGGTTCCAAAACCATCCTAAAAGACTATAGCGTTTGGTATGCAGACCGACCAAACAAGACTGATCTGGACAAAACAAGAGATTATAACAAGTTGATTGTCTGTTATTCGGCACAACTAGAACTAGACAAATTGTCTATCCCATCTTGTTCCACCTACTTTGCTGGACCAAAAAAAGCCTTTTTCCTTCCCCATCCAGTAGTCCTTGTCACTGTCCCATTACCATGTCAAGCCAAACATGAAATAGTGATTTTAACGTACCCTATCTAGTCCCATGTACCAAATGCAACCCTAAAGGCTTTTGTAACAAAACCACAGCCTGAATCAACATCTCATCAATACGCATGAGAAGCAAAAAGGGGGATGACATAAAAAAAGCAACAATTAAGCATCCATCGAACCATTATTTTACCCAAATTAACAACAAGAAACCATTCAAAATAAGCAACACAACACCACCATCATCATAACCAAAAGATGAGAGATTTACCATCAACTCACTTATTTCTATCAATTCTCCACTTTCTGCAGTTCTACTTTGAGAGACTTGAGATACTTCACAGCTTCATCAAGAACACCAACTGTATTCATTCGGTTCCCGCCTGGCACAATCCCTCTCAGCGAATTCACCATCTTCCTCATCTTCTCTCGCTTTCTTTCACTCGACTTCTGGGAACAAGATGATGATAATACCCCCAGTCCACTCTTTCTTAGCGGCCTCGAAGAGCAAGAATCTGCAGTATCACTTGCATCGTTTCCCTGAGTCCGTCCAGTGCTAACCTCTTCCTCTTCCTCCTCTTCATATTCATCTTCTTCAAAACTCAACAATAAATCAATATCCGCTGAATCTTCTTTCATAACAGACTCAATTTCTCTACGGTCATTCATGTCATTTCGCACACCCATCCTATCTTTGATATGATTCAGACCCGGGTAACCAAAACCCTGAGCCACAGCTGGGTGGTACATAATCTGACTATGGTTATCAGTTCGATCAAAGATAATGAAATTTCTCGGGCAAATCTTCGAGGGTTGGAAATCGACATTTTGACCAAAAAGGGATGCAATAGGAGGATTCGAAATGTATCCACTGCCCACTTGATCAGCAAGCGGGAGTTCAGTTTTTTGGCGTAAGTGTTTTTGGTCACTCTGCATTTGTTCTGTTAAGCAAAACACTTACTCTCGATCAACAAATTATTGGTTTCTAGTTCGCGGTTTTTTTTCCTGGGTGTAATTTAGTAGAAGAAAGAATCCTAAAGGCAATGTGAAGAGCAAACGAGGCCCTATGTTATTTCCATTTTCGTGTAAGATTTATACTCCAAATTATCGTAGTAACCAGCAGCCAACAGACAAATATCTTTACCGTCTTCTAATGAAACAAACAACCAACAAAGGTAATAACTGCCTATTTCCCAAAGTTGTAAACTGTAACAGACTACGTAATGGGCTTAAGCAACTGTCGGAAATATTCAGCCTGTAATACAAACAGTATATGAATAACCATTAATCCAAATGTTCATAACCAAAACTTTCAAGAAAATTACAACCGTTATAATGCACACGTCAATCATGTATCAGGAAGCAGCCAGTATCACCTCAACCTAAAGGTGTTTCTTCTTTTTTTCCTGCAACACTGGTATCTAACATCTTTGACCTAACTAATTCACAAGATTCAGGCAAAAAAGCCCTCTACATGAATTGGGCAAATTTTTGGCTTTATGGCCAATGGATATAACCCTCAAGAGTGTGTCTGGTACGTGGGTGAGAGTGAGGTAAAGATTTTAGGGTTTCAATTTGACATGGGTAGTTTAGTAATTTATCAATCTTGTCCCACCTTAATTTTTGTTTTTTTGTTGTGTCATGTCCCATGTACCAAACACAAGGTTCTAAGGATGACTAATGGGAACCGCAAGGGACACAAGGAGACCATTCCCTTTGGGTTCCTGATTAGTTTAGTTTACTTTAGTTACTATTAAAGATCTAACAGTAACATACCTGAACTACAAAGAAACATAATGAAGAAATGATTCCTACTTTGTAAAATAAAGTTCCAATAGGTCAAAGGTGTTATAATCTTTTAATGGTGAGTTTATTTTAAACCTCCGAAAGAAAACGTTGCATCTAGTTTCCAAAAGCGGATTGTTTGACCACAAATAGCAAACATACATAAACGTCATGGAACACAATAAATCCCACTTGAAAAGTAGCTACTTCTGGGAGGACTTAAAAGAATCATGACAGTAACTATAATGAGATAAACAAACATAAAGATTTACCTGGCAAACTTGCATCAAATTGTAGTAGGCAATGATCCCAACACTCATTTTAATCTTCCCAACCTCCTTCAAAACTCGAATTCTCTTTTGTGCAACACCAATGAACATTCTCAATCCTCCACCCAGTATTTAGTAGAAAATAAAAGCGGAATACACGACTAAAAAAGTGAACGAGTTATACCCTGCTTGCACCAAAATGAAGAACCAAAAACCCGCTATTAGCACATTGTATAAACATTCGTCGTTTCTTAAATGTTTCATAATTTTCAGGCCACACAAATAGTTGCTCCACAGATTCAGACAAAAAACAAACAGCTTCAGACAAAAATCAGATTTTATATCGAGTACCCAATATTACAAACATTCGGTGCTTCACAGATTCAGACATTATATAAACATTCGTTGTTTCTTAAATCAATATTATCTTGAGCACCCAATATTATAAACATATTTTCAACAAGAAACAGAGGTCTATAATACCCAAAAAAGATGCAATCTCACCAACGAAATCAAGTTACAGGATGACACGAAAGAACACCACCAATCGCACACACTTTCCAAAGTAATTGATACCCAAAGCCTTCCAAGGCATGTTGATCTAGTTCTTCAAAATAAAACTCATATGATGGTTCCCCAACCCCTTAAGCTGAAACAAACATAACCAAAACTCAAAGTTAGTTTAACTACAATACAAGCTCAAGAACACTTGATTTCATTTCGCAAACACCAAAACAATCAAAATCATCCATAACCAGTGCACTTATGCCAGTCAAATTTGCAGAAAATGGCAGGTGCCCTCAGAATAACATAAATGGTATGAAAGATTGACACCATATGGGGACTAAAAGCCTTCATTTGATATTGATTCAGGATCTGTGTGAAAGGGAACTGTGGGCAGTTGAAAACTTTCAAATGGGTGTCCTATTTACGTTTCTAGCATTGTTTGCAATTTCCATTGATGATTTTCGTGGATACCCCTAAAACATCCAGATTTTGCAGGTTAGGAGATTAACAAGTTTAGCCTCAAATCCTCATTAAAATCAAGAACACCCCAATTGGATTAAAATAACTTTTTTGGAAGACTTCAAAGAGAATGAGATCTAACTACATGAGTACACAAACACTCACTGATTTCAACCAAATTTACAAACAATCTACCGTAATCAACAGATCCGAAATTTAAACCATGTAGCTTTTGTGGAGTAACCAAGAAAACAACAAAAGCCATCTGAAATAGATCATATAATGTAACCAAATTACATATAGAAATCTCTACAACAACAAAATCTGCTAAAGAAATCCAATTAAGTAGAAAAGTTACAAAAATATCAACAACTTGAGCAAAAGGGTTGAGCGATTGTTGGTCAAACTGGGCAAAACTCCCAGAAATCAAAACAAGAAATGGAATTTGAGCTACAAAATCAACGAAGAAAACTACATACCCAGAAGATGAAAATGAAAATGAAGATGAAGATGAAGATTCCCGTAAATGAAAAAGATGAAAGAAAGGTGCGCAAGATCTTGGAAGAGAGACAGGTGAAATGAATGTTGAAGACTTTAAGATCTAGAAATGGAGGGTGAAGTGGGTGTGGTTGTAGTTTAGGGGTTTGTTGGAGAGTGTGGTGAAGGTGGGCCGTTGGATGAAGGACTTTACGCGCATTGCGGTGGGGGGAAGTCGCCGTTGGATTGCGATTTGAGGAGCATGCGTGGGGAGGATGGGTCCCACTCAGGGTTTGACAAAATGCAAATAATCTCTTGGGATATGGTTTTCAACCATTTACCTTGACACGACACTGCTACTGTGCTTCCCTCACCCATTTAGTTTCTATATCCATACAAGACAATACGACGTGGGTGTAAGATTTAATTGTAAAAAAAGAGAATGTTTTTGTCATCAACAGAATACTAGTGGAAATTCTAAGATTGTTAATTATACTATTAGATAGCGATTCCATTCTATATAGAATATTAGCGGTGAAAAGACTAAAAAACTAGATACAAAAAAAATCATGTTTTAGGGGATGTTTGGTCAGAGGTATTAAGCAATAATTAATGAGAATAAAACTAAAAGAAATTATTTGATTTTCTATAATATAATGAACACATTCTTCCACAAGCCCAAAATTTCATTCCTAGTTAAACCGAGGGGAATGAAAATCCATTACCTATCATTTTCATTTTCATCTCCATTATCATTTTCCAGCATGAGTCAAATAGACCCTTATTAGACAAACTACATAATATCATGCATCTACTCTCAAATTTCCTAATCTTTCATTAGTCTTGCAGAGCATGATATTGAGGGAGTATTTTTTTTTTTAAGCGAACCTTTTTTTTAGTAATCATTCACTAAAGGATGTTTGGTTCGTGGAAGGTAATGAAAATGTGAATTAATATGAAAATGACATGTTTCCATTCCACGGTTTAACCTCAAAGAAAATTTGTGCTTATAGGTGAATAAACCCATTATATTATATGAAATTAATCAGGTTTTTATTTTATTTCATTCTTATTAATTACTATTTAATAGATTCAACCAAACACCCCCTCAAATGTTTCAATACTCAAACATTTTTCATACATAATATATAGTAAATAAAACACATGCAACAATAAGGGGTCGTTCGGTTCGCGGAATTCGAAGGAATTTGATGGAATTTGAATGATAAATTCCTTTGACCAAATTTCATTCCTTTGTTTGGTTAATATCTTGAAATGGATGGAATCCTTCAAATTCCAATGAATTCCACAAGTTAAGGAATTCATCATTCCTTAGCATAATGGAAGGAATTGAATTCCATCAACACCCACAACGACCATGCTACTACTGTTTGTGATGCCCCACCCCTAACCCCCCACTACCACCACCACACCACTACTGTCACCGCCACCCACCCTACCCCACTATTAACCACCATGCCATTGTTGTTGTCATCACACCCACTCACCCTCGGTCACTCACTGCACATCCCTGCTACGACCATGCTACTACCGTTACTGTCACGCCCCTAACCTAACCCCCACCACCACACCATTATTGTCGCTATCACAGCTGCCATTCACCCCCACCCCACCACTAACCATCATGCCACTATTGTTGTCATTATACCCACGCACTCCCAGGCCCCAGCCACCCGACCACAATCTCACCATTATCATCGTCACATCTACCAACCCGCCACCTACCCCACCCCCACCCTACTCCAACCCACCACTAACCACCATCCTACCACTATAGTCTTCACCTGCCCCCTTTGATGGATTCCAATTCCAACAAATTCCATTATGTGAACCAAACACCCCCTAATAGTTTGACTAAATATATTGAATGCAAATTATGAATGGCAAAAGATATCTCGATTAAACGATTTGAAAGTTCTACAAATCAAATTTACAATCTAACAAAAATGAATAATAGATTTGGAACAAAGATGGAGTTTTCTCTTTCTACTCCGCAAGCAGCAAACATAATAGGACATTAGGATGCATTCGTCTTCCCACGTTGGTCTCAATGGAGACGAGTTCGGTGTAAGGCGGGTTGATTGTCGTTAATAAATGCTTTGCCCAAATATATTTCTCAAGCTAAATCTCTCATTCTCAAAAAATATATTTGATTCTTCCAAAAAGGGCAATGGAGAGTTGTACTGCATTAGCATATCAATTGAACCATACCTAAAATCTTCCCACTTGCCAGTTTTACTATTCATCTTCATCACTCCATTTCAACAACTTCGCTCCTCTTTTTTCTTGATAACTTTTCCTTCTTCTTTCCAAAACGAATCAACAATGATTTGGAGGTTGTTTAGGTTGCTCTTGAAAATTCTGACGAACCTGCAAACCGCATATCTCAATCTCGAACAACGTCGTTGTTTCTCCTAAAAGCATTGTTGGTAATGACATCCTCTTCTATTCCCCTTCATCAATCAACACCAAAAATGAAAAACAATCTATAAAATTCACAAAATTAACAGGAAAAAACTCCATAAATTTTCATAGAATGTTTAGATTTCATCTACGATTCAACAAATTAGAGGTTTGAAGAAAAAATAAAACAATCACTTGCTCAAATTGTAAAAAAATATCCATTACACAAATCGTTCAAGTGGATCGTTCAATGGGTTACAATTGCACAGATTACAAGAGTTTGAATAGGTGGATGGCTTTAATGCTTCAACCCACCATACTACATTTTTTTTTCTTTTAATGGTAATGAGAACTCTACTTCGAAAGGAGTATGACAATTTACAGGCAGATCAATTTTTGCAGAATTTAATGGAAGTGTATCTTAGTTTGATAGAGGTTATTAGAAAATATAAGAGTAAATTCATTTTGGGCATCAATTATGGAATTGAGTCATTGAGGTCGTAAGCCACCATTGAGGTGGTATGAGTCACCAAGGTTGGGAGGCAAATCGAGATTATATAGTTGGAAAGTGCTTCAACAATGTCCAATGTTCACTCATGTTCTTCGTATAGCGTACTTAGATGGAGTTGATATGAGTTTCAGCACAAAAATTGACATAACAACTGGCAAGAAATTATCAAGTCCTTAGTAGAGTTAGAGCCAGCTTAAAGGCATTCTCTTAGAAGAGAGTAGGTTGTTTTGTGGAAGTGTCGTTATTCAAATTTTTTATCGCTAAATAGTTATTTTCTTTGGGTCAATGGAATAACAAGCCATTCATTGTGTGTGGCATTCAAGTTTTGGATCGGCATTAGATTTCAAGTACAAATTCATTCTAAGGTTGGGAGAATTATAACACCTGAATTTTAGTATCCATAATTTCAAGTTTTGTTTGTATTTTAGCCTTAAAATAGTCTTTTGGAAATATTGTGAGTGTAAGTTGGGTTGGTTATCGTATTTGGCAAAAACAAATCAATTTTTGGTCGAAAAGTACATTGCTCGTGCTCATGCAGCAATTTTGCTCGCGCCCGCAAACAAACCCCAAAAAGTGGTCAGAACCATATCAATACACTTTTCAGGACTGTCAACTATTTTGCTCATGCTTGTAAGCATCTGGGCAGAAAGTTTTTGGGCCTTGTAGCCCCTTTAAAACCCGATTTTTCCTTTCTTTTCTTCATCTCTCTCTCTCTCTCTCTCTTTCTTTTTGTCCAAGATCATTCTCTCCTCCAAATCGATTTCCTCAAGAGCATCTAAGAGCTTGGCAACTGGAGATTCAAGTCTTGTGGGTTGAAATCCAAGATCTTCATCTTCTTCATCATCCTTCCACCATTGTTGACCAAATTTTGGGGTTTTTTTAAAACCCCATTTATAAGTTAATCTAACCTTTCTAAGATTTTATACTCGTCAAAATACTTCATTATAGTCTCCCAGAACATCTCTCTTGGTGTATTTTACACATCCATAGGTTTTGACCAATTTTAGGAGATTTGGGGGGTTTTACCCTTTGTGCTAGTAAATGTTAAATCTTCAAGAATGTTTTATAAAAATGAGTTTTAAGTACACAAATTCTATTTTTGGACTTGAATCATAGGATTTAAGTATATTTGATTGTGTTCATCTATTGGGAGAGTTTTATGTAAAATGGCCTTGGAGAATGAAATGTTTTGAAGATCTTTGTAGATCTAAAGTTTATGCTCGTTTAGTGGTTCATTTTTAGACTTAGGGAAATGGTTGGTTTGGAAACTCTAGGTCCTTGTTGAAAATGACTTGAAGATGGTGAAATCTTCATCATTGGAAGATGAAGTTTGGTGTTTGCAATATAGGTTTAACTTAACCTAGCAAAGTGAATTCAAGTTATTTTGAGAAAATTATGTACATGCCAAAAATATCCATTTTGAAGTATAAATATGTTTTACTTGTTATTTATCAAATGTGTGGGTTATTTGATGAGTTTTGCATATTTGGTATATTTGTTTTTATAAATCTTGTAAAGTGCTTATATTTGAGCTTTTGGACATTTGAGTAAATAAATCATAAGTGTGTTGATGATTTATTTTATAAATTGAGAGTATTTGGTGATTAATGCATTTTTAATGTATTTGGTTTGGAAAATACGTATCGTTGTGTTATGGAATATTTTAGAAATATAAATGATGTGGTTTTAATTGGAAAATGATTTGTCCCAATCAATTATGTGTTTTTGAATTAATCATGTCTTTTGAACATGTATTTGCATAAATGCGAGCTAAATACGTTTATTGTTTTTGATGACTTTTATGAAATAGTCAATTGGGTTGTTAAGCTCATGGCTCGATTTTGACTTTAATGAGCCTTGGTGACAAGTGTCCGGTTTGAATTGTTCTATGTCAAGCTTTTGGGGTTATATGTACTTATGTCATAATTATATAATCTATTACACGTTTTGAGTGCATCAGTCATTCAGTTGGAGTCGTGTAATTTTATGACTATAATGCAGTGAATCCATAGACAGAGAAGTCGGTTTTGTTTGTAAGATGTGCACTTATCTCATTTGACTATATACTGGATTTGGTTGATGTCATCGTGCACCTATCAATGAGCTTATTATCTAATTTGACTATATACTAGTTTGGTTGATGTCAATGTGAACTTATCTACGAGCTTATTATCTCATTGCACTGTATACTGGATTTAGTTGATGTCATTGTGCACCTATTAATGAGCTTGCTATCTCATTT